AAGAGCAAGATTAGGTGCCAACGAGGAGTAAGCATCCCTTTTAACTGGTCACACTCCAGCCGACTGCCCCATGTTTTGATCTTTTAGACTGAAATTACAGTAGTCTTTGGTTCAAAATTTTATTCCAAAAATGGAATGAAAAAGTTCAGAAAAAATTTAATCTAATGAAACTTTATTTTGTTAACAAGGTTGCTGGTGGCTTATTACTACAAAAATTAGGGAAATAACGACGGAAAAGCTCTTGTTATCTCTCATGTCATACAATTTAGTTGTCACTATTTCAGTAACTCTATTTTATACTTAAACAGGTTCTTTTAAGTTACCTTTATGTATTGACTGAAAGAATTTCTTTCTTTTGACATCTATGTCAGTAAACAATAAAAATTAATTTATAATATTTTTTTGTTGTTGTTTGATTCATTTTTAGAAAATTTGGTAGCTATCCTTTTGTACTCACATATTGAAAAGAAACTTGGGATATATTGTTCATTTTTTTCCAGTAGGTCTTTCGTTTTATTTCTTTCCTCAAAATTCCCTCTTTTATTAGTAGCTTAATCACCTTTTGGAAAATGAAGGTATCCTTTGGATGTAACCCGGGCAGGTTACTCTTAAATATTTTTTACAGGGATTTCAACAACCTCGTTTAAAGTCAGCATTTCGTAAATGCCATGCTCGTTATAGTGACTGTATTAGCAATTGTAGTTTCACTTTGTCGTATTTAGGTTGTCTTGTTTCATACAAATTGTTATGTCCTTGTTTTTTGTGTTTTTATTTCTTCTTAATTTGTCTACAAAATGTTTAGTCTACCTGATAAATTCATGGGCTCACGGCGGATGGGACCGGTCAACAGGGGAGCTTACTCCTCCTAGGCACCTGATCCCACCTCTTTAATTTCTAGTGCTTTGTGCTCTATTTACAAATTTGTAATATTTGAAGTTGTTATGTTTGTTATGTGTACCCTTTTTCACCTTAGCTTGGGAGCCCATTGAGGTAAAAAAAAAGAAGACATTTTTCTTTCAAAAGTTATTCTTGGAACTTCTATATTTACGAAGCCAAGTTATCATACTCCGTTTACTGATCACTTTTCTGAGAATTTACCAAATATGTGTTGTTTTTTTTTTGAAAAACTTACTTATGTATATATATTTTTTTATGATTTAAAAATCATCCTCTTGTATTTTTTTTCCTAATATAAATGCATTGTTTTATATAAAAAATAATTTTTATTAATGGTTTAAGAATGAATTATTCATTTACTTTCTATTTGAAATAAGATTTGATCACATTTCACAACAAGAAGTGATTTGTGAGAGATGGAAATTCTGTATTTGCCAGTGATAGTCTTGTATGTCAGTTCTTAGCTATAGTTATTTAATCACGTGATCTAGTTTCGGCGCTATTCTCTCTAGGGATGATCTATTAATTTGTCACAACTTGAACTGAGTGAAATGAGTTGAAGATTTGGAAGTAAAATTTCATTACTGATGTTAGTTTCTCGCATTAGACAGCTGGATTCATTTTTTCTCTTCATATAAGTCAACAAAGTTGCCCATCAAGATAGTATTAAACCGGCATCTACGGGCAAAAGGCTTGCAATTTGCTAATTTAATTTTCAATTGGCGCGCTATTAGCCGGTTCCGACAGTCGATTTGCCGCAGAGTTGCTGACAGTTCTTGTTTGAGTTTTCTCCGATTAAAGTTGCCTTTCGATTAATAACATTACCATTTGAATAGAACGGCGAACGAACGATGTTGAAAACTCAATCAGCCGTATTGGTTGGTCTTTAGAATTCATGGTCATTTTAAGATGAGATAATTGTAGAAAATGTGCGTATCATTTCTTAAGCTTTCAACGATAGACCTAATTGAGTAATTAATAGCATCCTCCTGTGTATCAAATATCTTAATTAAATTAACATAATTACAATACCGTTATATGGTGGAATATGGTTATATATCGAAGAGCAGCATCAACGCATTTAGTTAAAAATAAATCTAAATAATCGAATAAAAAATTCAAATGCGATTATATCGTAAACACATCTTAAAATAAAATTAATGTTTTTATTTTGATGAATATACAATATTATTTGATACATTCAAAACATAATTTTCTTTAAAATGTGTTGTACGTGCCAATACGCTCAAATTTATAGGTAAACATACGTATTATCTATTTATCAAGTGAATTATCAGAGAAAGTTTTTCTTTTGTCAACGGGGTACATTTATATTCAAAGAAAAATACAGTATTCAATCAGTAAAGGCAATCAAATTCCAATTGTACTTTCGTGTGGTACAAATATATATTTCTCCATTTTTGTGAACTGTTTTGAATTGATTTCTCTTTTTTCTATGAAATTTCTAAAACTTCAAACAAATTAAATTATCAAAAGTAAACTGATACTGAAATTGCGAAAATATCGCTTATTTCTTAAAATAGTAAAATAATATTAATCTACAGATGAGTGTATTTTTTCCTATTGCAAAAGTAATGGATAAAAAGATAATTCCAAGAACCCTTCGCTTTTTGCGGGAAAAGGAAAAAGACAATAAAGTAAGTTAAAGTTGAGCGATCTTGACTAATTTAGCTAAAAACGGATAATAACGGAAATAACGGAGAAATCAGTCGACAATTCCGTGTGTACATAATGGTCTAACAATTAGTATGAAATAAGTCAGTAAGCATTTGACGTCATGATAAATTGTTGTTTGCTGACAAGATCATTTTGTCGACTATAGAACGTATGAAATGATGAATTCAAACGAGACTATTGATATTCTTATTTAATCAATTTGTTTATCACTAACTGACATCGTTTTAGAAATTTTTCATACGAAGTTCACGCTATTGCATATCGAATCAAATGAGATATAAACACCGTATGCAGGTGATGAAGGTATATTGCTAAATAAGTAAGGGAAATTGACAATTGTAAAGTTAGAGCAATCATGTTTATCATAAAGCTTGGTTCACATATTACCATTAACGTCTTTCCAAATATGAAGTAGATGTGTCAGACTCTGTGGTATCTTTTATTTCGAATTCACTGGGATATGTCATATCGTATTGACGTAAGAATGGAAATTACCATTATTAATTTACAATGCGTTGTCTATATAACTAAATGTCGGGTTGAAGGCCACATGAAGTGAATTCTTTTTCACGCATAAGGTTTTGGATAAATTCTGCTTCATATGAATGCAAAAATACGTCTGCTAATAACGGTATGATGTCAGATGTAAGAGTAAATTTGTCAATTAACTCTTATTAAATCGAGACTTAAAAAGTTCATAACATACGTATGTGTAAACATAAATATGTTGTATTTTGACCAAAAAATTGCATGTTTAAATATACATACATTATCATTCACTATTTACTATGAAAGATGTAAATAAAAAAGATTGACAAAAACGGAGTAGAATGCCTATGAAAAAATCAATCGTGAGCGCCCCAGCCGATTATTAAAATCTACACTCTATGTATACCTTTTTAAATATTTAAAATTTTTGTTCCACTATTTAAAATAAATGTATGTGTGTTAGAAAGTTACATTTATAACACTTTAAATTCAGTTGATATCACTCCTTCAGAATAAGAAAATAAATTCTGTTTACAAATAATGAACAAGTGATTACTTCCCTTAACCTGGAAATACCCCCTCCTTGATAACCAGTTTTAAAAAAAAGAGGATGTCTGCCCAATATTTCTGTTGCTATTGAGACATCTCCGTGAAATATGGAAACAGATTTTAGAACTATTGTGATTGGCAATTTGATTAAAAGTGTACGCCTAATTTGTCGCCCGAGTGGGCTCTGAGCAATAAATTACAGTTAGCGAAATGAACAAATTCCTTCGATAATTTGGTTAAAATTGATTAAGACGGCAAAATTGTCTCGTGTTCAGGAGATTAGTATTCAGCATTTCCGAAATCTGCTGAAAAGCACGAAATCTAAAGAGTGCACAAACAATCTTAGGTCAATTTTAATCAAATGAATCGTACTCACGCAAAAACGTGCAGAGAAGATGTCAAGTCACAAAATATTTTCCAATAATATAAAATCCGGAAAGATAACTTTATTCAGTAATTTAATATCATTTTGAGTTAAATAGCGAGAAAATAGGAATGTCAAACTAAACTTGAGTATATTATTTTTTAAAACTTAATGTAAACACTGCTCTATATACATATGTTTTACTTTGTCAAACTATATTACTTTAAAATATGTCCTTTAAACATCAAGCACTAATAACTTAAAGGTATTTTACAAGATGGGATGATAAATTATTTTTAAGCATGGTTTCACATCCCATAGTCAAATATCAACCTGTGATTGTTTTTTGTTTTGTTTCCAGGTGATTATTGTTTTTTTTAATTATCCCAGCTAAAATGTCATGGAAACTAACAAAACAGTTAATAGCAAATAAAATAGAAAGAAGTAAAAAAAATAAGCTATATGAAAAGAATAAATAAAAACATGATATTGAATACCAAGAGATATTCCTGTGTGATGCACATCTATTATTGGAGAAATGAAAAATTGATGTATAGAAGGTTACCCTCGAGTGACCTCAGATAAAAGAAAAAAATTACTCTGTCTCTTTTCCGTCTACAGAAAGGGTTATCAAAACGAAGCGAACGTGTTTATAAATCTATACTCTATGTTTCTTCAAAATACCCTAAACCTTAAATGTATTTTTTTTTTTTATCAAGGAAAGAATTTTAAAAATCATATAATTATTTTAAACACTGTTTGCAAACTTACGTGCACGATGAACGCATTATCTCAAATGGTTATTTACATAAATAAAGAAAATTTTATATTTGTTAAAACACAAAAAATATTTAATACAATTTTAAAGAAATCTCTTTTTAAAATGCATGTTTGGCACCTGACCCAACCTCTGTTGTTTTGGAGGTCCGTGTTTGCACTGCTTCTATTTTTGCATTGTTTACATTGGACTTTTGAACTTGAATACTGTTCGTTACCTTTCCAGCTCAGCAGCAGTCTAGTTTACTGGGTAAGACCCGCCGTCCGAGGACCGCCTTCACCAGTCAGCAGCTCCTGGAGCTGGAGAGACAGTTCAAGATGAACAAGTACCTGTCCAGGCCAAAGAGGTTCGAGGTGGCGACCTCACTGATGTTAACAGAAACACAAGTAAGTGTTAAACACATTTCAATAAAACGTTCTTCTTAACGATTGATGAAGAGAAACCTGGTGATCTTAAAATCTTCTAATTGGTTTTGAAAGTAATCAAAGTTAATTATAAGAATATAAACATTGTAACGGACATTTGTATTATGTTGCCTTGTGTTGGATAATAAAATAATTGTTTCAATTTAAAAAGAGATCTACAAGTTTTATATCCTCTTATCAATGAAATACACTTAAAAATGCTCCTATAGACTAAAATCTGCAATTGATAGAGTATAAGAATATAGACCTTGTACGTCTTAGTACCCGAATGCATTATGAGTCATCTTGGCTTTTGTGGGAATATTAGTGAATCAGTTTGACCTAGATTAGAAGGTTTAGGCACCCATTGCTCAGTGATAATCCCCTGATACAACTGATGACAAGACAAGTCTTAGATTTAATTCATCGATGTCCTCAATGCAACGCTGAAAAATCTTTAGAAAACAGGAAAATATATTCAAACGACGGTATGATTGCATTCATCTATACTCAATTCGATATATAAAAATGTATACAATATTGAGACAAGTTCTGAGTAAGCTGTTGACTTCTGGTAAATTTGTCTATGTCTTCAATTCAAAATTGTAAGGTCTTTACACATGAAAAGTTTTGGAACTTATTATTAAGGTCCTTTAAATTATAAAATCTATACAAATGATAAGTATCAGAATAAATCCATCATCATAATTGTCCTCAATTAAAATACAAATAAAAGACAAGAGTATAAGATTCACATGCATTACTCATGTCCTCAGTCTAAAGCTGAAAAAATAAATCTTTAGGAAAGACAATTAACTGGGAAATATTGTAATTATATTTGATTTGATACGAAACTGTGAAAAAAATAACAACGCATGAATGAAAAAAATATGTTTTTCAATCATGACCAATTCTCCAAATAGTAAACTAGGCCTATATGTGTATGACGGAATCTGACGTTTTTCTAGCCCCCACCTGGGCTAACTTCTCGTCTTACTTATCAACCCCACCAGAAATTAATTACCAGACCAATGTTGACAATGAGTGTGGAGTTTTGAAAGGATATCTTGTTGTTAGCGGGATTTTACAAGCCTCCAGCGATGTTGTTGTCAAGCAAACTCAGGGTAAAGTTTCATGGGGGCACTGATACACATATCACACCTACTAAACAGGTGCTTCTAGCACACCTCATTCCGTGCTATAGTCCCGCTGTTTTCCCTCCTAATTACTTAATCAATCGCCAGGAACTCGACTCGCAATGTAAAATACCAAAGTTCCTGGGATATGTTGTTCACTTAAATAATGATATTTACATTTCATTATGAACTTCTGCAGAAAGACGCTCATGAAAAACGTTAATCTGTTTTCTGTCGTTTCAGGTAAAAATTTGGTTCCAAAATAGACGAATGAAATGGAAGAGAAGTAAAAAAGCGAGTGACCCTTTTCGAAAAAGTGGTGAAGATAGAACTAAAGGAACCACCACAGCATCAGAAACCGCGGCGACATCTAGTGAGGAAATGTATGATCTCGATCCGGAATCAGAAGATATCGACATTGATGACGTCGATGATGACGACGATGATCAAACGGAAGCTAAAGACTTGACGTTAAGTGCGAAATTGCAATCCCATGATTCATTTCAAGTGTCAAATCCAAACTTTTCATTCAACGGTTTAAATATGAGACAATCACAAGACGTATCATAAAAGCATATAATATATGCCTTGGTTTTACAATGTTGATAAGTTCATGACAATGTGTTATATTACATATTCGTATCGTTTTGATTGAGTATGTCTTTATCAGAATATAGAACAATGAATGAAAAAAAACTAATTACAATTGATTAAAAAGTAACAAAGTTTGTTTTTTTTTCGTGAAATTATTGTGTGCAATGTATGAGAGGTTAAAAGAACAGAGGAAAAAGGGTGTCTATAGATTGCGAGAATGTGAGAATATATTGTTCTAATGAACACGAGATTTCGAATTTCATTGTATATACACAAATATGTCAGTGTTTTTTTTTTTTGCAAGTATGATATATCAAAGCAAAATAGCATGGTGATTTTCAATGACCATATTGTCTTGTAATTATAGGACTGTATCAATAATAGCCCTGAATATTTTAGAGAGCTTTTTGTGAAGAAAAATAAGGTGAAAAATATTCAATTATCAAAATTAATATAGCTAATCCAATACATTTAAGCAAAGAAAAGGGAACACACCAACCTAATAAACACATTTCCCATCAAAATGTTAGAATTACACTGTTTGTATGTTGCTTCAAGTCCTGTTCTAGAAATTATCACTCATATATAATATTCTAACCAACCAAACTGAATTTGATAGGTAACTTACCTATACATAACCTTCATAAATAAATAGACATACAGTGGATTCCATTTGATATTCCACCAAGACTCTGTTAACTCCCACCTAAAATATTAAAGCAGTGAATGATAAGTTTCAAAAGTTCTTTGCAACATTATTGTCAAGAAACAAATCAAATGTGGATACTAAAAGCGTCCAACAAACATTCGTAAAATTTAAAATTACAATATTTTAACCAAAATTAATGACATCATAACCATTTCAACTCTATACAACCATTCCCATGACAAATGAAAATCAAGGCTTTTTAACATCATTGACAGGTGCTTTTTCAACAAAAGTTTATCTCATAAATTTACTTACTTGTCATCTGTTCTTTGGTAAAATTATTTTGTTAAAAAAACATTCTTAGTATACACACAAATGTTCTTAAGTTGATATTTTAAAAATGCTTGATTATCGGTTTGACTATATACAGGGTGTCCCATAATATATGATACCATTTTAAATTATTGTCATAAACGCAAGTCTTGACCAATTTCTTTGAATTTTGTCTCATTAAATATTTGAATAAATACAATTTTTTAGCAACAAATAATTTCAGTTAAAAATTGTCACATAGTTGGAATAATGTAGCCACATATAATTACGTAAAAAAATAGCTAAAAATGCATGTCAAGCAAAATGGATTACCGGTAATCATTGACAAACAAGCTGGGTATACCCTCATTTTAAAACTATTTATCAAATCCAGTCTTAAGATATTGTTACTAAACGTAAATCTAAATCTTTAATTTGTAAAAAGGTATATTTCCATTGGAAATCCAGATTATAACCAAAGAAAACCGCACGGTTGTTTTAAGTTTTGGAATTTTGTGCAATGTCTTGACATGATCATTACCCAGATTTGACGTCATGTAGGGGTCATAATTGAAAAATGATAGCATTTTTCAAAGTGAACTCATTTTGTCATGTTCCCTTCAATGTTCATCAAATTGTGTGAATAAAATTGGACAGTATATGCAATGTATATGGTACATTTGTTATTATTCAAAATTCATTACATTACATTTTATATAATCATGAAATGGTATCATATATTATTGGACACCCTGTATATTAGATTTTTAATTTGGGGACTAAGTCTTTCAGCAATTCTTCGACATTTCCATTGAGAGCAGACCTGTGTATTCATATGAAGTAAAATTGATTCAAAATCTTATACATGAAGAAATTAAACACTTGCTGTGGCCTTTAGTTTGATAGTCAGATATATCGACGACAGATTATCAATGAAAAGTTATTTTCATTCAAACGTAGACACGATACATCAAGACAGTGAGCTTGTTATAAAAGATACCACAGAAGCTGACACATCTGTTTCAAATCTGGGTATCTTTGTAGAAAAAGACGGTAATCTAACAAAACTTGATGATAAAAGTGATATCTTAAACTTTTCATTCGTCAGCTTCCCCTACGCATGTATTAAAATACCCCCAAACAACTGCATATTAGAGTAACATATCTCAGTTGATTCGATACGAAAGAGCGTGTTCTACGTACGAAATTTTTCTAGAAAGAAATAGGTTACTTATAAACAAGTTTATAAAACAGAAAAAAAACAATCTTTCATTAAAGATTCTTCCTTTATTTCATGATCATGAGAAGGAGCTCACGGCGGGTGTGACCGGCCGGTGTAAAGACGAATAATGACCCCCATCGAATAATGACCGGGGGTCAATTTTTTGACAAAAAATGACCCCCTACCTGTAGAAAAAAATCATTTTTTGTAGAAAAAGTGTCATAGGGGTCATTATTTTATATGTTAGTCCTATAAAAAATTGACCCCCATTGAAAAATGACCCCCTTTAAAGTGAAAAGAGATTCTTTAATTGTCAAGTAAATAATTAAGTAAGTAATACATTTTTAATGTTCCTCCTTATAGTGTTTGCTTAAAGAATGACATTCCACTTGTTTTTTAGAAATCAAACCATGCAACAATCAGGTTCCAATACTCTTTAATAGAAAAATTAATTTTTCCTTCATTTCAACTTTTAGCTTGTATAAGTTTGGCAAATCCTATTTGACAATGAAAGAGGAGGAAATTTTCAACCCCCCCCAAAAAAAAATTACGTTAAATCAAAACCAAAAAAAAAAATGAAAAGCAAAAATATAAATAAAACTCTATACCTTTCAATAATACTGGAAGAGGCTCTAGATAAAATATTGAAATGAAGTTAAGCCTTCACACACGTTCTATCATATCATAATTTACTTCGCCATGATTAAAGCATACTTTAAATGTTGGTGGGGGTATACTTGAAAGTATTGTGGCAAAGTAACAGTTGAAAATTAGTAGAATAGTAGATTATTTTAAGCTTATTTTTAGTCCCTCCTTATAGAAAAATAAAAGTAGGGTAGTTTTTTTGTTGCTTTTGTTGATAATCGACTTCCCTTTAAATAAGTAAGGGGGTGGGGTGGGTATAACACCTAAAAATATGCTCCGTAAAGCTTTAGGCTAGTGTAAAATACACATTCTAGTAGTTTTTTTTTTGTTGCTTTTGTTGATAATCGACTTCCCTCTAAATAAGTAAGGGGGTGGGGTGGGTATAACACCTAAAAATATGCCCCGTAAAGCTATAGGCTAGTGTAAAATACACATTCTAATGCAAAAACTATACATGTAGACATAACCTTTTGATTTAGCACACAGTATTCATTATATTTCTTATTTCTTGTTTTACTCCACGGTTTTACCCAGTTCTGAGTATATTTTTCAGAGAATTTAATATGAAAATCAGAACAAACATTTTCATTTTTGTAACGTCTTCTTTATACTGTCTCATAATATGAAAAGTTAATTGAAGACCATTTCTTTTTATGTCCCTGTAATCGAAGATTCGGGGGTATATAGTTTTATCGTGTCCGTCTGTCTGTCTATCTGGCGGTCTGTTTCTCCGCAAAAACTTTAACCTTTACCACAACTTTTCATTTATTGTAGCTATGTCTTTCATATTCAATATGTGTACATTCCTTGTGATAAGACCTTACTCTGGGTACCACCAAATTTGACATTTTGACCTTTACCTTGGAGTTTGTCCCATTTTACACAAAATGCCAAATTTTTAATTTACTTTGGCTATAACTTTTAAACGGTAGATACTAGTACTCTCATACTTCACAAATGTAATCCTTGTTACATTAAACCTATCTTAAGAAACCATCAACTTTGACCCTTTGACCTTTGAAATTGACCTACATTTCAAACACTTATCCTTAGCCATTAATTTTGAACAAATGGTGCTAGGACTTTCCTATTTTGGAATTGTATTTCTTGTGAGAAGACCCTACTTTGGGTACCATTATATTTAAATTGCCTTTAAGAAAAGTTTAATCTTCGCTATGTTGCCATACAGGGGCATAGCTGTTATACAAATACATCTTTTTATATATAAGAGGAGTTGCGGATAACAGATGGATACCCCAAAGCGTAACAGACGGACGGACATCCCAATCACTATATACCCTCCCGCTTTTCAAGCGGAGGATATAATAATATATGACATTGCTGATTTTTTCTGTCAGTACGATGATTTCCACCATCGAAAAACAATGTTTACCTAACCCTTTAGGCTCGATAAATCTTTACTCCTTTAGATTCTGAATCATCGCATTGACCTTAAAATATAGCTATAATCGTATGTCAACATATCATCAATTTATTCCAAATAAGCTCAGGTGAGCATTTTGGCCAATATGCTTCTTTATCTAATTTTTTTTTGCCCCCTAAACATTTCAGCTTTAATCTACAGGGAGTCATTTTTCTACGGGGTCATTTTTCTTCACGTGGGTTCTGCAAATTTTTAGGGTGGTGACACTTTTTCTACGGGCAAAAGAGTCATTTTTCTACGTCGAATAATGACTGGGGGTCATTTTTCGCTGTCGAAAAATGACCCCCGGTCATTATTCGATGGGGGTCATTATTCGTCTTTACACCGGCAGGGGATGATTACTCGTCCATGGCATATATTCCCACCTCTGACGCTTTAGATGTCCGTGTTTGCTCTACTCCTGATTTGCAACGTTAGAATGGACTTTTGAACTGAAATACTGCTCGTTTTCTCCATACATTTTATATTCATGTTAATGAAAGTGTTATTAAATTCCTAGATTTTGAAAGCAGTGCCAAAGTAAAATTTCATAGTAAACCAAAGTATTTATTTTGATGATCATAACTTACTAAAGTGCACAAAGGCAATAATGGCTATTTTTCGTTCGGACAAATAGTACAATATTTAAGTCAATTTATATGCAAATTTATAGCAAACATTTAGGCTGCTGTTGATATTGAAAGAAATTTTAGATTCATACATTTACATGGATCGGATTTCATCTCCACGAAAATTAAAGCGAGTAACTTTTTTTCGCGAGAGCTGCTTCTTGTGAAGTAACTCAATTATTAATTCCGCGTGTTTATTT